TTTTTCCTCTTCTCTCTCAATTCAGGAAAACTCCAGCCCTCGTTATGGGAGGCGGACCTAGCTCTCAGAAAACTCCCCTGGGTTGTATGATAAAGCATTTTAAGGAAGGGTTTGTGGATGGGGCTGATTATGGTTTCAGGTTTTCTCCTGGAAGACTTAAAACACTTTGTGAATCAGAGTGGCCCACTTTTGGTGTAGGGTGGCTGGCGATGGGCTCTTTCAATTCCTCATTAATTCAGGTGGTTTGGGACATCGTCACCAGAAAACTGGGACACCCTGATCAATATCCCTACATTGATCAATGGTTGGCCTGAGTCCAGAACCCTCTGTCCTGGTTAAAGAATTGTGCCTTGCAAGTAGGGGCCCGAGTCTTAGTGGTGAGACCTAAGGCAGTTTCTAAGAAAATCCAGAAACCCGAACCCCCTGCTCTGCCTCCCACTCCAGAGCCCCCTGTTCTTCCTCTGCCTCCGGAAGAAACAGATCTCCCTCCCCCTTACAGTCCTGCACCGAGGCACTGTGCTGAAGCCCACAAGATGGCACTTCCCTCTCACTGCCCCATACCCAGAGCGGCTCAGAGTATGGAAGCTCTGAAGGGCTCCCACCAGAGGGAACAGTTTCCTCTGCCATCTTGCCCTTGAGAGAAGCGCCATGCCCAGTGATGGGGAAACGGGAGGGCGCCCCTTTATGGTTTATGTCCCGTTCTCCACGAGTGACCTCTATAATTGGAAAGCTCAAAATCCCCCATTCTCAGAGAAACCCCAGGCTCTGATCGGTCTGCTCAGGACTATCATCCACACCCACCAGCCAACCTGGGATGAGTGCCAGCTACTCCTGGCCACCCTCTTTACCTCAGAGGAACGAGACCGGATTTGTTTAGAAGCCTGGAAGGCTATTCTCGGGCCAGGAGGGGGGTCAATCGAGGAAAACTGAGACCAGATTGAGGAAGCTTTCTCCTCCCTTCACCCCAGATGGGACCCCAATACCAATAGGGGCAGGGCTTCTTTGGACACTTTCACCATGTTCTCTTGGGGGGTTTAAAAGCAGTGGCTAGAAAACCTACCAATCTGCCTAAGCTTACTGAAATTATTCAGGGACCTCAAGAGTCACCCACATCTTTTTTGGAGCTTCTGTGTGAAGCCTACCGAGTTTACACTCCTATTGATCCAGGGTCTCCAGAAAACCAGCGGGCTATCAATGTGGCCTTTGTAGCTCAGTCGGCTGCCAATATTAGGAAGAAACTCCAAAAACTAGAAGGATTTGAAGGAATGAATCTGTCACAGTTGGTGGAGGTAGCTCGGAAAGTCTTTAACAATAGAGACACCCCGGAGGAGAAGCAGGACAAAAGAATTGAAAAGGTAGTGGTAGCAGCACTATGAGAGACAGGCCCCACAGCAAAAGGGGAAAGGAAGAAGGAAAAGAAAGGCAGGCAACAGCTAGGGAAGAATCAATGTGCCTATGTTAAGAAAGAGGGGCACTGGAAGAGAGAATGTCCCAGCAGACTAGCGAAGGAGGGCCAAAGGGGCACACAAACTCTGCAGGTCTTAAATTTGGAAGAAGATTGACAGGGTCGGGGCTCCTTCCCATTGAGCCCCCGGGAGCCCAGGGTAACCTTGCAAGTAGGGGGAAAATCAGTTGGTTTCTTGGTAGACACTGGGGCAGCCTATTCAGTCCTGACAGAGCCGATGGGACCCACAACCTCCAGGAAGACTTCGGTTCAGGGAGCCACCAGACAGACTGCCCTCTTCCCTTGGACATCAAAAAGGACTGTAGACCTCGGAAAGAATACGGTAACACATTCGTTTCTGGTCATGCCGGAGTGCCAATACCCCCTTCTCAGACGAGACCTCCTGCAGAAACTACAAGTCACCATCTCCTTCGAGGGAAACGAAGCACGCCTCACCGTGGATCCAGGGACCCAAGGTCCGGTCTCTTCTTCCCCTACCTGTATTCTCTTAACTTGTCCTCTCTTAGAGGAATACCTTTTACAAGAAAAGGCCAAGGCAGCCCCCGATGAGGAGCATGAGCCCTCTGCCTACTTGGAGGAGTTACAGCGACTCTTCCCCACAGTCTTGGCAGAAAACAACCCTCTGGAGTTCGTGAGCCATCAAGCTCCGGTAGTGGTCCAACCGCTAGCAACCGCCACTCCAGCTCGAGTAAGGCAGTACCCCATGGGCCTTAAAGCTAAAAAAGGAATTGCTAAACACATTTGCCGGTTTGGGGAGGCAGGAATTCTAATCCCTTGCCAATCTTCTTGGAACACCCCCTTGCTGTCAGTTCTGAAACCTGGAACTAGAGACTACAGACTGGTACAAGACCTAAGGGAGATAAATAAAAGGGTTGAGACTATACACCCCACTGTCCAGAACCCTTACACTCTGCTAAGTCTTCTGCCTCCAGAGCGTCAGTTCTACAAGGTCTTAGGAATAAAGGATGCTTTCTTCAGTATACCCCTGGCCCCAGTTAGTCAGCCCATTTTTGCGTTCGAGTGGAATGACCCGGAGGGAGGATTTTCAAAACAACTAACCTGGACCAGGGTTTCAAAAACTCTCCCACCCTGTTTGATGAAGCCTTAAGCTCGGATCTACTTACATTCAGACAGGAGCATCCAGAGTGTACCCTGCTCCAGTGTGTAGATGACCTTATACTTGCTGCAGATACTGAGGAAAGTTGCCAATGAGCCACATTATCAAAGGCAGACGGACCCTTTCCCTCAGTCAAATAGAGACAATCTTGAAAATCCCCATGCCTACAACCAAGAAACAGGTTTGAGAGTTCCCAGGAGCGGTTGGATACTGCCGCCTATGGATACCGGGATTCTCAGAGATTGCTAAACCTCTATACTCAAGCACTGGGGGAACGCTGCCATTGGACTGGACAGAAGTTGAACAACAAGCCTTTGAGGGACTAAAAAAGGCTTTCGTCTCAGCACCCACTTTGGCCTTACCGGATGTCACGAAGCCCTTCCACCTCTACGTCAGTGAGGTAAGAGGCATTGCAAAGGGGGTTCTCACCAAAACCCTAGGTCCCCAGAAGAGACCTGTGGCCTATCTGTCTAAGAGACTAGACCCCGTGGCATCAGGATGGCCTGCATGTCTCCGGGCAGTGGCCGCCACGGCACTACTGGTAAAGGAGGCAGACAAGCTTACTCTGTGTCAAGAGATAGCCCTGACAGCACCCCATGCTGTTGAAGTCCTCCTCCAAGGAGCTCCAGAATGATGGATGTCAAATACCAGAGTCACCCAGTTTCAGGCTCTCCTCCTGGACCAGCCCCGCATCTGATTCCATAAGACACTGGCCATCAACCCTGCCAGCCTACTCCCAGATGATGACCCGGAGGAACCTATCCGTGACTGCATAGAGGTAATAGATGCAGTTCAAGTGGCTTGCCCAGATTTAACAGACGTCTCGCTGTCATCACTAGATGAGGTACTGTTTACAGACGGGAGCAGCTATGTGCAGGATGGAATCCCGTATGCGAGGGCAGCAGTAGTCACTCTGGACCACACCATTTGGTCACAATCCTTAAGTAGGGGCACTTCAGCACAGAAAGCTGAACTTCTGGCCTTAATTCAGGCCCTCTGATGGGCAAAGGGGAAGTCTGTCGCCATTTATACTGACAGCCGGTATGCCTTCGCCACAGCACACATATATAGTGCCATCTACTGGAAAAGAGGGTTACTAACTTCAGCTGGAAAGGACATTAAAAATAAGGAAGAAATCTTAGCTTTATTAGAGGCCATCTGGCTTCCCAAAGCAGTGGCAATAGTACATTGCAAAGGACATCAGAAAGGAGAAACAGTAGAGGCTCGAGGAAAGCGAGCTGCAGACCAGGCTGCCAGGAAAGCCACCCAAAAACCAGTGGGGCTTTTGCAAGTATTGGTGATGTTACTGGACCTGGACCTACCACAAACCCCCTCATACACCAAACAAGAAGAGGAGTTGGCAGAACAGAAGCAAGCTACCAGAGGGCCAAGTGGTTGGTGGACTCTACCAGATGACAGACTGTTGGTCCCAGAGGCTCTAGGTTGAACTTTAGCTACCCAGTTGCACCAGGCTACCCACCTAGGTGTCACCAAGACTTCTGAACTTTTGCAAGGCAGGTACTATGTACCAGGTTTAGATAAAATAATTAAAAGTATAGTCACTAGATGTACTATTTGTGCACAGATTAATGCCAAGCAAGGCAAGAGAGTCCCCCTGGGAATTCGGGCCCAGGGAAACTCTCCATGAGAACATTGGGAGGTAGATTTCACAGAGATCAAGATGCCAGCATCAGGGTATAGATACCTCCTAGTTTTTATAGACACTTTCTCAGGTTGGGTTGAGGCCTACCCCACCAGGACAGAAGCTGCCTCTATAGTAGTTAAAAAGTTACTCCAAGAAATTATACCTAGATTTGGGCTGCCAGTAATTATAGGATCAGATAACGGCCCTGCCTTTGTAGCAAAAGTGTCTCAAAGTATAGCTGGAGTCTTAAGCATAGATTGGAAACTTTATTGTGCATACCAGCCACAGAGTTCAGAGCAGGTAGAACGTATGAATAGAACTCTGAAAAGGACTCTAACTAAATTTGTCTTAGAAACTGGTGAAAACTGGATCAACCTGCTTCCCTTCGCCCTTATGGGCCAGTTATACCCCATACCAAAGGGGTTCTCCCCATTTGAAATCATATATGGAAGGCCTCTCCCCATCCTTCCCAAGGTCAGGAAGGAATTAAAAGCTGAAATTCATAATCATTCTTTGCTCAAGTCCCTACAGGCTCTACAGCATACCCAGAGGCTACCCATAAGCTTGTTTGAGGCGCCCTGCCAGTGCCCACCTCGGACCCTGTACATCCCTTCCAGCCGGGGGACTCAGTGTGGCTAAAGTTCACTGCCCAAGGACTCACGCCAACTTGGAAGGGACCCTACACTGTTAATCCTGAGCACGCCCACGGCTGTTAAAGTAGACGGTGTCCAGACCTGGCTACACCACTCCCAGCTGAAGGCAGCAGGAGCAGAATGGACCGCCGACACCACCTTGGACCCCTTAAAGATAAGACTTTCGCGGGTATCAAAGTCCTAACCTTTTTCCTGTTCTGTGCAAGTGGGAATCCCCATAAACCAAGACTATGGGACTGGGAACTCCAAAATGGGGTCACGGGGAAAGTAATCGCTCACACCACTGTAGAGGAAAGGAAACAAGTAGCCTTTATCTTTGATCTGTGTTCCCTGCTAGGAGGGGGGGTCCCACCTGAACCCCCATCCTTTCAACTAGCCCCCCGGGCATCAGGGGGGCCTCAGGGGGTTTGCGGCACAGTAGGCCACGAAAGAAGATTACAGACAATGGGAATCTATATTTGCCCTGGCTCTGGGAAGGTTGGTACTGGGTGCCTAGACTCAGGGGCATTTTATTGCCCTTCCTGGGGCTGTGAGACTATCTCCACTATCTCGGGAGATCAGAAAAATAGGGACCCTCATATAAGCTTCCAGAAGCTCCTCGCTGGCCCCTCTTTCCCTTGTAAAATAGAAGCCTGTAACCCAGTAGAAATAAATGTCACCAGCGGAGGGGATTTCTATTGGTCAACAAGAAGGACCTGGGGAATAAGAATCTATGCCACCGGTGTAGACCCCGGAGCTCTCTTCACAATCCAGAGGAGAGCCAAATCGGAGCCCATGAAGCCTATAGGTCTGCCATCAGACGTGGCCCTGCCCATACCCGTTAAACCACCCCAGGCCTTACCCAGTCCTGAAACCAAATCAAGGGCCCTGTCCCTACCTCTCAGCCCTTCCCAGGAACACTCCCTTCTTGCGATGTTGGGGGCTGTACACCATTTTATTAATACTTCCCAGCCCACGATCGGGAAGGACTGTTGGTTATGTTTAGACCCCAGACCACCCTATTACGTAGGTGTGGGAATTTCCCAGGACATCCCCCGACTCCGGGGGCCAAATAATTGTTCTTGGGATCAGCCTAAACTAACCTTGGGGGATCTTCAGGGACAGGGGACCTGTCTGCTCTCGCCAAACTTTCCCCTCCAACAGTCCCCCTATGCGGATTCCTGTAATCAAACCCACTGGGGAAATAGTAGCTTCACTACCTATTACCAAGCACCCGAGCAGACCTGGTTTGCTTGCACAAATGGCCTAACCAAGTGTGCTTCCTCAGAACTATTTAAGGAAGACAAGGAGCCCCTTCTCTGTGTCCTAGTCTATATCCTCCCACAGGTTTTCATATACAATGGGAATGAAGGGAGAGCCCACATCTACTCGGGCCTTTCACCAAACCGATACAAAAGGGCTCCTGTCTTAGTGCCCCTCCTATTAAGCCTGGGTGTTGTAGGATCAACTGCTGTTGGGGCTTCGGCTCTAATCAAAGGGGATATAAACTTAAAGGAACTAAGTGGACAGGTGGATATAGACATCAGACACCTCCAGAGCTCCATTTCCCATTTAGAGACACAGTTAGACTCCTTAGCAGAAGTGGTATTACAGAATAGACGAGGACTGGACCTTCTCTTCATGAATCAAGGAGGATTATGCATGGCTCTTGGAGAAACTTGCTGTTTTTATGCCAATAATTCGGGAATAATACGAGAAAGCTTGGACCTAGTAAAGCAAAACTTAGAGGAGAGAGAAAGAAAAAGAAAACAATCAGAAACTTGGTTCCAAAGTATGTTTAATTGGTCCCCCAGGTTGACTACTTTCTTGTCCGCAGCAGCAGGACCCCTTGCCCTATTGTTCCTAGCTCTAACCATTGGACCTTGCCTGGTAAACTGCCTCAGAAAACTATATCGAAAATAATTAACTCTGTAAATTTACTAGTAGTTAGAGGGCAGTACAATCATCTCACTAATGAAGATGAGTCCATGATTTGACTCGCATAAATAAAATCAGCCCCCATCCATTTAGGGTAAAATTACTGTTTAACTTTAATTTTGCTATTCTGGCTTCTGTAATTGTTTGCTTGAACAATAAGAATACTCCCCATGCCCGAGGGGCCATAAAAATACGCCCTGGACAGAGTCATCAGCCCAGGTGCCGCTGAGTCTCAACAAACACTATTCTCCTGTGCCTGAGTACTGAGACCATAATAATTGTTTTCCATTGACTCAATGGCTCCAGTTCCAGTTCCAGGAACCGAGACTATAGATAATTGTTAAAGATAACTAACTTTGCTCAATTTAGCTTCTGTAGCGATTGCTTTCGCAAACTAATTCCACATTCCAATGGTGAATAAAGGTGTGATTTTGCCTATTTAAGCATCCTGTTGCTTTGATTGAGCACTGCGAGATTTGGAGTCGCATCTCCCTTATAGTCGCCAGCTTTATTGATAAAAGACTCTTGGATTTGATTTTGTGTCCTGTGTGTCACTCTTGGGGTACAATACAACAAAGGCACTAAACTCTGTCAAGAACTTCACTTTGCTTTTTATTTTTCATTATTTTCTTTTTTATTACTTTGTTATTTTCTTTTTTCTATCTCTCATTTTATTCCTTCCTTTTCTTATTTTGTTTTTTTCCTTTCTTATCTTTGCTTAATTTCTGTTCTTTCTTCTTTCTCTTCTTTTTTCCTCTTCAAGTTTTTTTTTCCTTCCTCTTTTTTTTTTTAAGTTTTTATTGATTTCTGAAAGGAAGGGAGAGGGAGCAAGAAATAGGAACATCAATGATGAGAGAGAATGCCCCATGCCTCCTGCATGCCTCATACTGGGGATTGAGCCTGCAACCCAGGCATGTGCCCTGAGCGGGAATTGAACCCTGACCTTCTGGTTCATGGGTCAATGCTCAATCACTGAGCCACACTGGCTGAGCTCCTTCCTCTTTTTTTTATACCACTTTTAATTTCCTATTCTTTATTTTTTCCCCTTCTGTCTTTGCTTTCATATTCTTTATTCTTCCCCTTTTTTGTCCTTTTTTCTTTTCTTATATTATTCTTGTTCTCTTTTCTCTTTCTCTTTGTGGTTATTTTTGTTGATGTTGTTGTTGGGGTATTTTGTAGATTTTTGTTTTGTTTCCTCTTTGGTTTTGTTCTGTCAGCAACTGCAGAACAGCGCACACATGGTCAGGGTTAAGTGAGCCTGAGGGGAGAGCCCACCCATGAAAGAGACAACAACAATCAAGACCCTATTAGAACAAGAGGGCCAAAATAACCCACACAAGGGACATTCCTAAAGCATTGAGCTCAGGAGAACAAATTGATGAGACCACTGGTTTACACAGGACACTTACTACATACGGCCACCCCACAAAGACTGGGAGTCATAGACATTCTATCTAATATGCAGAAACAAACACAAAGTGACAGCTAAAAGGGAAGACAAAGAAAAAAAACACAAATAAAAGAAAAGGAAGAATTTCAAAAAAAAAAGAGCTAAATGAAATGGAAGCAAACAATTTATCAGATGTACAGTTCAGAGTAATGGTTATAAGAATGCTCATGGAACTTGGTGAGAACTTTAAGGACCTTAAAGGAAAATACAAGAAATTTAGTGAGAATAACATCAGCATGAAAAGAGACATATAAACTATGAATAATAACCAGTTGGAAATGAAGAATAGCAAATCTGACATCAAGAATACACTAAAAGGAATTAAAAGCAAGCTGGATGAAGCAGAGGTATTTATCAGTGATCTGGAAGAGAAGGTAGAAAAAACTCCAATGAGAGAACAGAAAGAAAAAAAGAATAAAAAAATAAATGAGGAGAGTTTAGGGGAATTTTGGGAGAACATGAAATGTAACAATATTTGCATCATAGGGGTATCAGAAGAAGAAAAAAATGAGCAAGGTATAGAAAACCTGTTTGAAGAAATAATGATAGAAGACTTCCCTAAACTGGTGAAGGAAAAATCATACAAGTTCAGGAAACACAGAGAGTTCCAATCAAGATGAACCTAAAGAGACTCACACCAAGACACATCATAATTAAAATAGCAAAATTAAAGACAATGAGAGATGGCCAATTGACATATGAAAAAATTATCAAGGTCATCAGGGAGATGCAATTTAAAACTGCAAAGAGGTGTCACCTCACACCTGCCAGAATGGCTCCTATTAACAAATCAATAAACAGAAAGTACCAGAGAGGATGTGGGGAAAGGGAACCCTAGTACACTGTTATTGGGAATGCAGACTGGTCTAGCCACTGTGGATTACAGTATGGAGTTTCCTCAAAAAATTAAAAATGAAACTATCCTAAGGACCTCAAAACACCAATCAGAAAAAAATATATGCACATCTATGTTCATAACAGTGTTATTACTATAGCCAAGATCTGGAAACAGCCCAAGTGTCCATCAGTAGATGAGTGGATAAAAAACTGTGGTACATTTCACAATGGAATACTATGCAGCTATAAAAAATAAAGAGTCTTATTCTTTGCAACAGCACAGATGGACCTGGAGAGTATTATGCTAAATGAAATAAGCCAGTCAGAGCAATGCAAATACCATATGATCTCACTAATGTGTGGAATCTAATGAACAAAACAAACAGACGAACAAAATAGAACCAGAGGCATGGATACCTGGGATAGACTGACAAATGTCAGAGGGGAGGGGAGTGGGAGAGACTGGATAAAAGAAGGTGAAGGGTTTAGCTCAAGGACATATATGCATACCCCATGGATATGGATAATGGTGTGGGGAGGACGAAGGGAAGGGTGGAAGGGGCTGGGTGGAGGCGGGCAAAGGAATGGAAAATACCAGACACCTGCAATAGCGTCAACAACATAAAATTTAAATAGAAAACAAGTAAAATATAAGTTTGAGTGAGTTTTGTGCAGTATTTCTTCTGTAAGAACAAAATACATACAGAGTGGGGCAAAAGTAGGTTATACTTGTTCATATGGAAAATAACACAATAATTAATAATAATACAAGAATAAACTGTGTTTTGCATACTCACAACTGTAAACCTATTTTTGCCCCACCCTGGATATGCATGTACAAGCTGTGATATACAAATTGTTAATTTTGGTGAATCCAGATATGCATAAAATGTCCTTACATTTTCATTTAAAGTTGATATTGCACTACATAAGGATGAATGGTAAAATTCATGCTGATAATTAAAAATTTTAATTTTTCTTACTTAGAACAATAATTTGGAAAAACAAAAATGAAATCTGAGATATGTCAAAAAAGAGATCACTGAAGGAAAAAAAGGCTCTATATTTTATACCTTTAATGGGATTTTTTTTCCTGCTTTTTGAACAAGGGAGCCCACATTTTCATTTTTCATTGGGTTCCTACAAATTCTGTAGACTACCCTACTGATCCATAGAAGCACTTGTTGAAGGAGTGAAGTCATTGTGTAGTTACTACATGACTGGTGCTATGTGAAGCTCTCTACATAAGATGATCTTATTTTACCCTTAAAAAATCCTTTTAAATTAGATGTTATAGTTACTATTTAACAGATGAGAAAACTGAAGCTAAGCGAGATTGAACAATTTAGCCAATATCTTAAAACTTATTAATAAAGAAATTAGGGTTCAAACCAAGATTCAGATCTGTAGAATCCCAAAGCCCATTTTTTATGACTCGGTTGCAATTCCTCCCAGAAGCCAGGCTCATGTGAGCCTTCTCTTGGGCTGCTGGGTGTATTCAGAAAGGCCCAAGTTTCTGTTCCAAACCAAAATGAGGCAAGAATACTGAGCCATTTCTACATCATTTGAAAATCCAAAGGACTTTCAAAAGCTCCAGTTCTGTTTGTACACCCAAATAAATAATTCATGTTCGAGTAGGTGCCAGTCACCAGTTAAATGTAGAATTACTTAAAATATTTCGGTATTTGTGTCGCAGAGTCGGGGGAAAATTTTAACCTTATCTAGATGTCTTATTTAGTTCTCCCAGATAAAGACCATCTTAGTAGGGTCTGTTAAGTATTTCTAGCTATATTCTAGTCTTGAGCTACGTATTCAAGGAACAAGGTATTTTAGCAGTTTTAATCTTCTTTCCCCAAATCTCACTGGCAAACAGGAGTATATCTTTTATTCATGGTGTTGAATAAAAGCTTCTGCCTAGATATGCATAGTTCTTAAAAATATTTTAGACACAGAACCCAGAGAGACAGAACCTAGAAACAGAACCTAGAGACAGGACTTGGCTGGAGATCCTAGACAGAACCTAGAGACAGAACCTAGTGAGAGAACATGGCAAAAGATCCTAAACAGAACCTGGCTAGAGAACCTGGAGAACCTGGCTGGAGAACCTAGAGAGAACATGGCAAGAGAACCTAGACAGAACTTGGCTGGAGATCCTGGAGGGAGAACCTCGATATGCTGATCAACTGAAAAAAAAAATATTTTAAATAATGTTCACTATGGTAACAATATATTGAAGTTTCTGTCATTTGAACATGAAAATGTTTAATTGGAGGATGAACTATAGTGCCAAACTCTTGAGCATTTAGTATTAATGACAGGGGAAAAATCAGAATATGATCATATATCAAACATCCCTTTTTTAATTTTAGTATTTGTTAGAAAATAGAATCTATTTATAACATGTTTGTGATTAAATTCATTTTATCATTATAAATTTTAAATCAAATACTCATTTTCGTACTAGAGGCCTGGTGCATGAAATTTGTGCACTCAGAGGGAGGGAGGTCCCCCAGCCTCGCCTGTGCCCTCTCACAGTGTGGGAGCCCCATGATGATTGCCCCAAAGAGGCAGGCCAGAGCCGGGGATCCTGCCTCCATGCCGCATGGAGCCACGGGACCCCCAGGACTCGCTGCCCGGAGCAGCAGGCCCTGCTGTGCACGCAGCCCCCTGGTGATCGCTTGTTGTGGTGTGAGGGCATCACGGCATGAAGGCGTGATGACCACATAGGCTTTTATTAATAGGATACATTTTGATGAAAGTATTTATTACTATAAACCCATTTCCAGATCAAATGTGTTGTGATAGTCTCAGTATGTAAAATAGGGACCAATCACAGGCACTTACCTTTTCTCTATTACTAGGTGCAGAGTTCCAGGTAATTACATAGAAACGCTTTCACACAACATGGGCTGTAAGACATTTTCAAGTACTTTTAATTTTGTTGATATTAACATTCTCAAATATCGATATTTAATTTTCCTTATTAAATATAAAATTAATCATAGTAGTATATATAATATTTAGTGACAGAGCCATTCGGATATTCTTTAATTTGCACTCAGAATAAAACAAATTATTTAAATGTAAATCTCTCTAACTTGTAAACTTCACTTTTGTTAGAGAAGCCAATTGCTTTTGCTCTTAATATACGCAAAGAAATCATGATAAAAACTGATAATTCTTTTGGCTTCAATTTTCTTATTTGTAAAGTGAAGGCAAATAAACTTGATGATTTACAAGGGGCTTTCCTTCTCTACAAATCTAGAAAATTCATTTTTTCCTCCAATATAAACCACACATCATCTCATTCTTTACTTTGGTTAATAAGATTACTTCTGATCATTTAATTTGCTCAAAAATATATTAAATTGACAAAATAATTTAAGCAAAAATAGTACCCAAGTTCATTACAATCAGTAACATTACTTAGGGGAATAAATATTTTTTTTTGTTTTGATATTTACCTCCACTTCTTGTTTAATTCCAGGCTGGTATATCAATATTGTGTCAGTATTGTTTTTAAAAGTGTCCAATTGCCATCTCCTCTTGTCATATAATGGGAAATTTTTCCCCATCTCTGAATTAATTAATTACATGATACTGTAAAAATATTTGTTTGGTGAAGAAAGAATAAAAGGAGCAAAAGAAAGAATGAAGTTTTGGGTTATTGTGAAAGAACTAACAGGCACTTTCATAGATAATATATTCTTAGTTTTTTTAAAGTGCAATTATGACACCAGAAGTGTTTGTAAATGCCTGTGTGTGTATGTGCATGTGTGCGTGTGTTGGCGAGACAGGGAAAAATAAAATAAAACACCTAAAAAGGAAGAGAATATGGAAAAAATGTAAACAAATCATTTCTCAAAGCTTTCTACACTAAGAATCAAGATGTTGCAATATAATGTCAATGAATGCCCTTCTTCACTCTCCTAAGCTATAACATGAAATACACTTGAAAAAATAACCACAATAATTTCCATCCTTATTCTAAGGTTTTAGAGAAATTGTTCTCAACCCTAGCTTGCACATTAGAATCATCCAGAAAGCTTTTGAAAAGTTTCTGAGCCTCATCTCAGATCAATTAAAATCAGATACTGGGCGGGACTGGACATTTCTTCTGTTGGAAAAGGGCCCTGAGGTATTCTAATGTGCAGTCAGGATTGGGAACATTGGTTTAGAGTAAACCCTATTATACAGTCCAGTAAGAAATACATATTTAAATTTTAAGTGAGAGGGCAATTTTTTTGAAGAGTTTGAAGTCACCTTACAAAACTGCTGATATATTCTGTCCCTTCTTCAATTATGACCCGAACCAGAAATCAAAAGTACCCGAGCTTGCGGGATGGAGCCAGTGATCCTACAGCAGCCTTGGAAAGAGTGCCCTGGCCCTTTCCATGGGCCATCTCTCCAGGTATGTGCCAGAGAACCAAACCGCCCTGTCTGGCACAGGCTCTTTGAGCTCTCTCTATTTCATTTTTTTCCTGTTTGAAACATTTGAATTGAAGGAAAAATGTAATATTCATATAATACATTTAAGCTCCCTAGACTGAAAAATTTTATTTCTTTGCCAAAGGATGCTAGAACAGTTCGCAGGCAAAAAATATTAAAATAAAAATTGCCTGCATTTAAAAATCTCCCCCCAACCCCTCTCTCTTTTTTTTTAACCAGACTAAAGTGAAATGTGACATGCAGCTTGGAGGTCACTTTCAGAATTAATAATCCCCAGGTATATTCAAAATCATTAATTGCCTCTGAAGGGAGTAAAAGGAGTCTTACCAGAATCCTGCTATTTGAAGGAGAGATACTGAGCTCAGTGTCTGATGCTTCTGCGAATTCCTATGGCCAACATATTCATGTTGTGCTTAAACGATGAAGCTTTAAAGGACTAATTTGGGCAGAGAACTTTGCTGTCCTAGCATGAATGCACCGAAGGCCTGGGAGAGAAGGTTGTTTGAATTGCATGTTATGTTAAACAGTTTCAGAAGAACTCTTTCCACTTTATTTCATTTTTTACACAATAAACCCTAAATTGTGCTTTTGACTACTGGGCTGAGTCTTTTAATTTGCTTTTTTCCGAAATAATAAATCCCCCTAATGATGACTGTGCAGCACTGTCACACACTGACACAGCCTATTTCTTCAACTCCTTTGTCATTAAAAGATGCAACTTACTTATGATGATTAATAATAATGAAATATGTATGAAGAAATAAATTATACAAGTGCTGCACTGTACATAATATGGAGCGATATCAATTGCCAGGCCCTGATTACCTGCACCCCTCTACAAACCAGGAACAGCAGAACGAGTCTCTCTAGCTGATTTTCCTCTGGGATCATAACTTAGGAAGCAGGTTATGAGAAAGTTGGAAAGGTGTTTTGACAGGTTCAAATTCTTTTGTAATTGTGGATTTGTAAAACTTGGCTTTCCCCCCCACCTAGCTTTTACTGTTGCCTTCACATCCCATTATTGAAGGCAGCCTAGAACGCCTGAGTCAATGGCATCTGACGGGAGGTGTCAAATGCTTTTGTCTCAGCTGACACAGAAATACCACATACCCTTCTGGTGCTTTTCCTGAATCTCCATAACTTAACATTTAGGATGTGTGGGCTGAGTAGGGCAAGTGAGGAGTATGTCTCTTAGTCTAAACCAGCGGTTCTCAACCTGTGGGTCGCGACCCCTTTGGCGGTCGAACGACCCTTTCACAGGGGTCGCCTAAGACCATCCTGCATATCAGATATTTACATTACAATTCATAACAGTAGCAACATTACAGTTATGAAGTAGCAACGAAAATAATTTGATGGTTGGGTCACAACATGAGGAACTGTATTTAAAGGGCCAGAAGGTTGAGAACCACTGGCAGTGTGAGTGGATGGGAAACAGAGTCAAGATGGTCCTGAGGTGATTGGTTCAGAGAGGGACCATCACCAGAGCGTTTTTATGAATTCTTAATCACTCACGATGCATCTCCTTCTTCCGATTTAGTACGTTTGTTATTAGGAAAAGAAATGAAGACAAGCTGCCCAAGTCCTAAATTTTTACTTTTGATAAAGAAATGAATGCAATTTTTAAAAAATACAAATCATTGCTTCTACAAAATTTAAATGAGTTAAAACTTCTGAAAAGCTGAAATTCCATAAAGTTGCTGAAGTTTATAGAAGGTTGTAAGCTTCCTCTAATCTATGGTTTCCAGTTGTTCAGACAATGTGTTGTTGTTTTTTTCACTCGTTAAAGGATCCTGTCACCTTGTTTAAGAAGACCTGGTTTAAATTGACTGTGGAAATTACCCATTTGGAAAAGCTAATCGAATTTTGGAGACAGCTGGGACAACATTAAGACGGCTTTGCTCTTCAACTGGATAACCCATTTGATCCACGAGACCCCTAAGGAACACAGCCTTGATGCTGTTTTTAGCTTCGTTTAGCTACTTCCAAAGCCTTTTGTCAAATTAATTTACTTAGATGTTACACACACACCTCACAGATATTCTTACAGATAAACTAAGTGACAAAAAAAGAAAACATGACACTTTTAAGAGATAAATGTTAAATTTAGTCCAAACAACTATGGAACTGACAATCCTTGCAGTAATTTCTGTTGTTAATGGAAGGTCCTAATTATTTTGGATATACTTTTGTCAGAGTTAATACAAAATTTAGAATTTACTGTAGATTAAATCCATTCATAACTATAGACTTACTTGTAATTTTACTGATTATTGTGTCCCTCCGTTAGCATGTAAATAAACCCTTAGGGAGCAGTTATGAGTCTGGCTTTATTCACCGTGGTTTACTTAGTACTTGACACATACTAATTTTACAGAAAATTAAATTTAGCACAAAAATTAAAAATCTCGCTATAAAGGGGATAAAACATTGGAGTCTTCTGTTTTACATTATCTATGGCTTACTTGGGAATTCGATCTACCAGCACATATTTCTAACACTTACCCTTTTATCTATCATCTCAAAATGAAACTTGAATGTTTTATGAAAATATCCCATAAGGAAATTTGTAACTATCTTGCATTCATCAGAAGGCAGTAGTATCTAAATCTCTTTATTTTTATTACTGGTGGCCTCCTTATCTAATTTATGGCATTTTAAAGGCCTAGGAAGGAAGCTAAATAACCCACTATTTTGTAATTCATCTCAATTTAAACTTTGATTTTTCTATTTAATTTACCTTAATCATTTTATTACTTGATTCAACCTTTTTTTTATCTAGCCCAAATATAATCTAGATTGTAGAAAATCAATGTTACTGAACTGAAGGGGTTCAAAGCCCAATAAAACAAACACAGAAATCTGCAGCTAATAAAGAAAAGGTTACTTAAGGAAAGGGTGCCATACCAGAGATATAGGTGAGTCAGCGGTCTAAGACCTGGCTTCTAGACTGCCTCTGGAGGATAGACTATTTAGGGGAAAAGTCACTAGTCATGGTGACTAAGGGAGTTGGGCTCATGGGCTCTACTGATTGGTTGGGGCCAGGGTAAGGAGTAGTTGGTCATTGATTGTAACAGGTCCTGATGTCAGCCACAGTTCTGTTCTGTCTGGTTTCATGGCAGTGTGGTCAGTAGAGTCATTCAGCTTTCATGGATCTGGGGCTGACACACAACTGAGGTCAAGATGTTATCTTTTTAAAAAATATATATTTTTATTGATTTCAGAGAGGAAGGGAGAGGAAGAGAGAGAAACATCAATGATGAGAGACAATCATTGACCGGCTGCCTCCTGCATACCCGCTACTAGGGATCAAGCCGAAAACCCCGGCATGTGCCCTTGACCGGAATCAAACCCGGGTTCCCACAGTCTGCAGCCGGCTCAGACTGAGCCAAACCAGCAAGGGCAAGATGTTATCTTTAGTTTGATTGAAACTGTTCTCTTGACCAACAGACCTGAGGTATTCTTATTAAGACAGTTTGACGCCCAGAGCCTGACATCCTAACCATTAATGATTAAGGGAGTTGACATGCAGTACGTGCAAAAGTGGAAGGACCTGGTTGGAAGGAGACAAGTGAGTCATGATGCCATTAGACTGGACAAAGTTGGCTTGAATTAGGAAAAAGTCATTTTAAGGAGATGAAGTTCCTGTGCAGTTACATTAATTTGAAAAATAGATGTTTTAAAATAAGAAAAGTCACTATTTGATTATGGTTATTAAACTTACATTTGCATCAGTTCATTTGGAATGACTGTAAAAAATATAGATTTCCCCATGGCTGGGTGGCTCAGTTGATTGGAGTGTTGTCCCATATATCAGAAGGTTGCAGGTTTGATTCCTGGTTGGGACACATATGGGAGGCAAATGATTGATCTATGTTTCTCTCTCATATTGATGTTTCTGTTTCACTCTCCTTTTCTCCCTCCCTCTCTCTCTAAAATCAATAAAAGCATATCCCTGGGTGAGGATTTTATATATATACTAGAGGCCCGATGCACAAAATTTGTGCAAGGGGCTTGGCCCTCCCAGTGCGGCTTCATCCGGAAGGTCATTCGGTTGTCTGGTCTAATTAGCATATTATTGTTCTTGGCTGAAGCACTGGTCTGCTGGAAAGTACCACTACATACCTAGAAGTAGAAGTCAGAGATACTATTTTTAAAATTATCTTTATTGTTGAAAGTATTATAGATGCTAGTTTCCACCCCCAGGGTGATTAGGTCTGGGCTGGGGACTAGGAATCTGTATTTTTAACTACTATTGTACCTTGATTCCTAGGTATAAGGAAATACTGAAAAATAATTGCCCTCATGGTTTAGGCTTCAGTCCACCTTTTGGGGGACTATAATAAGTTTTTTATTGGATCTTTTGATTATAAAAGTATTTCCTATTATGCCATGGAGGACATTCTTTCTGTCAGTTGATGAACTTCTAAACAATGTTTGATGTTGTGGGCAGACTTTCTGAAAGTTTCCACCTACAAAAATGGTTGGTTTATTTCTTTCTATATACCTCTAAGAAAACAAGTGCTTGGATTATGGACAAGATAAGCTTGCTGCAGTTCGCTCCCATTGGAGTTAAGTAAGCTGACCCTCTGAGAGCAGTACATTTAAGAAGAGACAGCCAGAGAGAGCTCTGGGAAAGGTCTCGGCCGAAGGCCTCCGGGAGAGTTGCGTTTTCTTTTCCAGATTTGTAAAACCTTCTGTTGTTCATCCCCTTCTCCAAGAAAATCCTTGTGCTGCCTAGTTAGATTTGTTCTAAAGCACTAATTATCTCTTGAAATTATAAATTCACATTTATGTTTGTTTCCTTGATTCTTACATGCTTCTCTAAATAAAATGTGCTTTGAAAGCAGGAGACTTACCTGTTTTTTATAGGCAAATGCAAATCAAGAACAGATAGATATAAAGCAAAAACAATTACAAATCGTAAAAATTAAATTATGATTTTTAAAATAATACCAAATTTAAATTCCTTAATAGGATATACTTTAGATTTGACCTTTTCTCCCCCATTGTCCCCTCCACCCTGCACCCGCCCCCTCCCCAGCCTGATATCAGCTTTGTTAGTGATTTACTGCCATGTAACAAATTACATGAAAACTTAGTTATATCTACACTAATAAAAGAGAAACATGGTAATTGGCGTACGACCGCTATCCTTTTCATTGGCTAATCAGTGAGTATAC